GCACGGAGGTGGGGCGGACGACGTTTTACTTTAAAGGGGAAAAGAGGGGACGCTCAGAAACCTCGGGAAAAGTCACGACGGAAACTCGCTGCGTCATGGCCCTCCCACCGTCTTCCGCCGATGTTTAATTACGCCAGTTCGCCCAGAGCACTGATTGGACGACTCCCGCCCGCCCGCGCGGCGACGCGGCGGAAACTCCGTCTCCCATTGGGGGCGGCGGGGAGACAGCCCCAGGGCGGGGCTGCTCGAACGAAGCTAAAAATAAAACCGGGCAGCCGCCGCGCGTGTGTGCGCCAGCGGGGTTTGAAGGCTTTGAATGTCGCCTGGCGTGGGGGTTCGGTGGGGGGTGGGGGTGGAGAAAGAAGCTGGCTTCTCAGCGATTGGTTAAGAGCCGGGCGAGGGGCGGAGTTAGCTGTAGAAGGCACGGTCATTGGTGAGACGCTGAGAGATCGGCGAACTGGCTCCCGCTGAGCCCTTAAAAGGTGCGAGACGCGAGGCGCGAGGTTGTTACCTGCTAGCCTCCGGGGTTCCTGCGTTTTCCTTTTTTAGTCTCTTAGCTATGGTGGTGTTAGTAAGTCTGGATTTGAGGAAGTATTTGGTGATTAAACCTAATCCGCTGGTGATGGAAACGATAAAGTAAAATAAAAGACACCCGCAGTGAAGGACTGTGGGAAGAATAAAATGTGTTAATTCAAAATGTTTTGCATTTCATTCAAAAAGTTTGCGCTTCATCGGTTGATTTCTACTCTGCGACGTGCGGACCCCGCAAACCTCACAGATCAACACATCTTTAATTTTCGACACTTGCGTGGCTAATTCAGTAGACAAACTCAGTGGGCTGAGCATCATCCCATGGGCCGGGAGGTCCCAGGTCCCGGGATGTCCCAGTCGGGGCACATGCCCAGGTTGCGGGTTCGGTCCCTAATAGGGGGCGTGCAGGAGGCGGCCCATGGATAGTTTTCATCATTGATGTTTCTATCTCTCTCCCCCTCTCTTCCTCTCTGAAATCAATTTTAAAAAAAGGAGGAGAACCGTCCTTCCAGAGGGGATCTAATCCGCTGGGCTAGCGCCCTAGTGTGGGCTGACCTCTCCAGACGCTGCTCTATTTTCCACAAAAGGCGCCCTGACAGCCCTTTTCCTGGTGCCGGTGGAGCGCTGTTGGGTGGCACCGATATTGAATGCAGGAAGGGACGCCAGCAAGGGAGGCCTTGGTCACGGGAAATGAGCGGGAAAGCACGGCCTGCGAAATGAAGCGATCAGGTTTCCAGCCAGGGAGACTTCCCTCATAGTAGACACTCTTTGCCCTTGGTGGTTGTTAAAAAAAAAAAAAAAAGCAGATACCCCGCTACTCCTATGAATGCCCCTGTTGTCATCAGTCTTTTGGACAGTGTTGACCTGCTTAGCCGGACAACCGCTTGCAGGTCGCGGCCCATTGCCTTTCCCGTGAGCACAGAGAAGGGACCCTCAGGAAGCTGAGCCCCAAGATTGGATTCGTTGGTATGAAGAATTAGAGGTGACTGTCCCGTAGATGTGCCTTGCGGAATGAGAACACTGGTGTGAAGGCAGAATCCTTTCCATGCTCAGCTCTTGTACTCCTAGGAGAGGGGCGGAGGACATTCTTATTTTGAGGGTCTATAGAAGCCCCAGGCGACCAGCTGCAACTGAAAAGTATCTTTGAAGTTCTGTGCTTTAACTGAATGGATTTGTGATTCTACTCTATAATTAGTTGAAATATTTGAAAACTTCAGTTCTTAAAATGGACTCTCCAAGAAAATGTATCATTGTTATCCTGAGCGTTTGGGTGCCCCCTACCCACAGTATTTTGAACTGATGGTAGGGGGTTGTGAAATCAGCTTAATGGATGTCACCTTTAAAAAAGAAAATAGAACAGAATAGAGAAAATGGTAAGGGGAATTATTGTCTCATGGCATTTTTGCTCACAGTGAGGTAAGTGTGACCTCATGACATTTTTGTGTGTGTGGTATGTCACAGATGTGCTATATACATATATATTGTGTGCTGAGTTCCACTGTAAAATGTATTTCTTACTGTGGTTGCCTCAAAAAGTTTGATAGCACTGCCCTAACTTGGGAATATTAGGAGTCCAGATGGAGAAGTGCAGTTGTAAAAAACAAATTCATTCAAGAACTGTTCCAACTGTCTTAAATCCTTTAAAGTCTGTCAGGCCCAGGAGTCTTGAAGATTCCTTTATTCCAGAGTGGGGAGAATTTGGTTTAATAAGTCACTCAGATTATCTAAAATAATTGGGATTGATGGTATGAATTCACATAGAAATAACTGACTGCAGCCAGACCTTTTAGGAACACGGGTGGGAGAAATGGACTTGCTTCTAAATTCAAAGTCCTTCTACCCATTGAGATCACTTGTTAACCTTTGAGCAGCTGGAACTTCTGCCACCAATAACATCTCTTCAGGTTCTAGTTCGGAGCTGCTCTGTCTTGTGGCCTCTGCATGCTGCCTTCTCTGTGTGTCCTTCCACTATGTTCTGTTTCTCTGGGAACTGAGAACGCTGTCTCTTCCATTTAAATCCCAGAGAGAGAACATGATTGGCTCAGCAATTACCATCAGCTCTTGAGCGAGGAGCTCATGCTAAACCTGTGGGTTGGCCAGGTAAGCTCTGCTGGTCTAAACCGCTGGGGTTGTGGGTAAGACAGTTCATGGCAGTTATCTGAAGCATGAACTGTCCACTATCATGGGATCATTATTAACTTTCTGTAAACAATAACAAGTCCAATGACATCTGACTTCTAGTTCCAACATATATATTTTTAATTCCCAGGGGTAATATACAAAACTTTTTTTCTATCTTTGGGTTAGACTAAGAAAAAGTGGAAACCACCGCTATGCTTGTTTTTAGTAAAAGGACATTTGTGAAATTATTTTATGTTGGGGAGCACACGAGACTTGGCTGGAAAGTTGTCAGGAGGACATTCTGAGAAAAGGGGAGTGTGTGGAAGGCCGCCTGCCCTGTTTATGGGAATTCTGACTAAGGGGAGTGTCAAAGGCGGAGCCCCTAATTATTCCTTGACCTTTCCAAACAAGTCTATGCCCTGCAGACCCCCAGGTGTTTACTGGACTCCTTATGCTTAACCCCTGGATGCCCTGGCCTAGAGGACAATGTAACATGTGTCCTCCCAAGGTTACTCACCCTGCTGATTGCATCTAAAGATAAAAATTCCAGTAAAGCCTAAACAGGCAGGCAATTGAGGCTGCTTGGACCCTTGAGCCAGACAAGCCCCTTAGCCATCTCCCCACATGAAACTGTGTTGGAGTAATCTGTTCATCCGTCGTTCAAAGGCTGCTGGTCGGCCCCGGCAATTTTACCTTTTTAACACGTGAAAGAGTGACCCTCTATGAAAGTAGACATGGAGGCATATAGTTGTTTAAGTATGTGATGAAGGAAGATTGGAGAAGAACTAGACTCCCTTAATCGTGGCACAAGCCAACCCAGACAGACCTGTTATGTGTCACATAGGGTATTGTTTAACGCGAACCATGCCGGCTGGGGAAACGTGCCAAGGTCATTTCGTTGTGTGGTTATATTGTTGGAGTCAAGGGGACAGGTCCTACTCTTGTGGACGGGCATGGATTTCTCAGCAGGGCCTTGACAGGCCTGCCCTCAGCATCCTAGCATGAGGCCATCCTGGGCAAGGCA